TGGCATCGCCAAGGCTTTTGACAGGGTCTGGCACAAAGGCCTTCTCTCCAAACTTTTTGCATACGGTCTGCCTGCTCAGCTCTGCGCCTGGGTAGCTGACTTCCTGCATGAATGTAGAATTCGCGTCCTTACGGACGGATGTAGTTCGCAATTCATGTCAGTGAATGCCGGTGTTCCTCAGGGCTCAGTTCTATCCCCCACACTCTTCCTGCTGCATATCAATGATTTGATTCCACTTGCGAATATTCATTGCTATGCAGACGATAGTACAGTGCATGCGAGATACTTTGGACACGCGGCGGCTGGACAGGTAGAAACCATGGAGAAACGAGAGAATCTTGTCGTTGAACTCAATAAGGCTTTGGACCACATTTCCGAATGGGGTACCAGGAACTTGGTTGAGTTCAATGCCAAGAAAACAAAGGCTTGCGCTTTCACGGCAAAAACATCGCCATTCCTTCCCCTTCCCTCTCTTCAGGGCACAACACTGGCGCTACAGAGCAATATTACCATGCTCGGTATGGACTACATCGAAACCTTGATCAAAACAGCTTCACGCAAACTCAGAGTCCTGAAAAAGGTGCGGCGTTTTTTCACGCCCGATCAACTGTGCTTGTTGTACAAAACGCAAGTGCGGCCCTGCGTGGAACATTTTTTCGCACCTCTGGGATAATGGCTCCGCTAAGATCGATCGATCGATCGATCGACTCGATGCCTTGGATAGGTTGCAGCGGCGCGCTGCCCGCATCATTGGCGATGAAGAGGTAACTAAGAATTACGCCGTGATGTGACATCATGTAGCGCATTCTACCGACTATACCACGGCGAGTGTTCTGATGAGCTATTCTCGCTTATTTCTCCATCACTTTTTCTTCAGAGGACCACGCGCGCGGCCTACGTTGCCACCGACTTACTGTGGCCACTATTCCTACACGAACAAAGAAATTTGGTGACTCATTTCTTTGTCGTACTATTCGTAAGTGGAATTCTTTACCCGCGCACGTGTTCCCTCCTTCCTATAATCTTGGGTCCTTTAAGAGAGGCGTGATGAAGCATTTTTGCAGGCCGGCAAGGCGAGGATGGTTGGTGTGGCAGTTTATACTTGCTTTACCAGCTATCTTCGCGTTTGGACTTTATCATCACTTAATATCAGGTGGGGTAGAGTCATTTGCCTACCTCGCTAAAAAAAACACCCTGAATAAAGTGAACACCAGCGGCAAGTTTTTCGTGGAAGTGTTATTTTTATTTTTAATGCGACATATTTTACATTCCATGAAAATTTTTGAACATAGTTACCCAGTATAATTAACTATTCTGTAATCGTAAAAGTCTACTGACGTCTGTCCTTTATCTAAAGTTTGTCTAGTTATCTAGTTTTGTTGTAGATGCTCAAAGATTTAACTGTTCTGCATTGATTCCGCGATGTCTTTTCACTTTTTATTATCATATCGTGAGTTAGTTTTTTTATCTACTCTGATACTATAATACAAAGATTCTAAAACTGAAAACAAAATGCTTATGACAAACATTACGTACAGGCCAAAAATAATAAAAAAAAAGTTTAATTACGATACAGGTCTTGTATGGACCTGTAACATAATATAACTTTTTAATCATAACGATACACCTGTACAACCTCCAGCTGGACCAAGGAGGTTGAACCTCTACTTTAAAAAGGTTTCAATGAACGAGTCCGCGACGACGCAACACGCATTCGCAATCGATATTTGCACCTTGGCGCCAACATTTGACATTTAAAAAATCTTTTCAATATTTAAACAAAGTTTGGTTTTGTTTGTAAAATACGTAAGTTTTTGTGTAAAAACATGTCTGAAAACGGGGATAGTGGTGATTGTACACCACCAGACATTCTGGAAGCTGCTTCAAACATGACCATGAACCTGTTCATCAGGCCATTGCCTGATATCTGTCAAGGTGCCACAGTCCAAAACCCATGAAAACTGGCACCGCAGGCCACTTACGATTTGTATATAAATATATTTATTTATGTACAGTATATGTATTCTATCCGTTACCCTAGTATCCCATAACACAAGCCTTGCAGTGCTTACTTTGAGGCTAGGCTAATTGGTGTGAGTGTTGGAAATATTTATTTATATACACAAGCCATTCTATAAATTTATTTATTCATTTATTCATTTATTGCATGTCACATAACATTCATGGTGGTACGTTAATTTATGTAAAGTAAATATGTGACGCCCTGCAAGGGCATAGCAAATATCAAGCCAGAGGGCTTGTTAAATAATTATATTATAATACTTAGTTCACATTTCATTTTTACACAACAAATATATTTAATCAAATAGATTTAACAATTTCAATAAACAACAATAATAATAATTTAATTTTTACACAACAAACAATTCAATTTTATAAACTAGATTTAACAATGTCAATAAGCAATAATAATAATAATGTCAACTTTAAAAATCAATTACATTTGTCGTCAAAAAAATCTTTTAAATTATAAAAACATTTTTGGATTAAATATGATTTTAATTGATTGTTGAATTTGGCTGATATTTCTACGTTCTTTATATTATTAGGTACACTATTATAGATTTTTATTGTCATAGCATGAGGACTATCCGAAACCAATCTTAATTTGCTGTATGGCACTTCTAATTTATTTAGATACCTATTATTTCTTTTAACACTTACTATTGGTGAATAAAATTCTGGGTGTTTTCTTACAAATTTACATGATTCAAGGATGAGTATGGATGCAAGGGTCAAAATTCTATGTTTAATAAAATAAGGTCTACATGATTCCATCTGATCGATGTTTGTCAAAATTCGTATGCATTTCTTTTGCATTATAAATAATTTGTCTACGTCAGATGAGCTTCCCCACAAAATTATACCATATGATAGTATTGAATGAGCATATGCATAGTAAGCAGTAAGAGCGGATCTAAAATCAGTCACACGTTTTAAATGTTGAAGTGCATAAACAAAAGATGACATCTTTTTTAACAGCCTTTGTATGTGGCATTTCCAGTTTAAGTGTGCATCCAACTCTATACCCAGCAAAGTAGCAGTATTGACAACATCAATCTTTGTGTCTCTATAACTAGAGAAAAAAACTAAATAGAGAAAGGAAACAAAAATTCTAAAGAAATCAGTCCGGCTTTGATCATTCTATTGAAGATCACTTAACACTATTTTATTGCTTAGTATTATTTTATTAATATCGAATGAATCTGGTGATATCAAAATTTTGATGGTTACAACACTATTATTTTTAAAAACTGAGAATGTAACTGTTTTTGAGACGTTTCGTAATAATAACAAATTGCATGCTACTATAAATTAAGCGCGAAAGAATAGTCGCAATATATTCTATCTTATTTTCAAAAGCGCCAAAAAAGTATTAGTCCAGTCAATGAAGGCAAAAATCAACTACAATCTCCGATTTCGTTGAACCTCTTTGGAAATGGTGAAGATTTTATTTTTCGGTTTTTCCAAAAAAAATCGAAAGTGTGATCTTATTTTTATCATAATTTGCTCAATTTTGATGCTATTAACTTTTTACAGTGCTCATAGGAAGGTATTTCCGAGGACCTTAAAAAATGTTCAGGAAGTATATGTCATAAAATGCACCGATTTCCCGTTATTTAGGTTTGAATAATTAGATTTAAGTACTCGCCGAAAAAAATGTACATACAATAACCTCACTTTAAATTATTTTTTGAAGGTTTTTCAAAATAGTGGTTTGTTTGATTTTTTATTAGCTTCAATTTTGGTTTTAATATTTTTTTTTTGTAAAAACTCATAGTTTTTGAGTTATTTATGAAAAACCACTTTAAAACATGTTTGTTTATCACGAATATTACCAACTTTTGATCTTTAGTAACTCAGAAAGTATTGATTTATTCTAAAAACTTTATATTACAAATTTTGCTTAGAATCTGTCTCACTATCGATTCCTGGAGTTGATTTTATTAATATTATTTTTACCCCCTGGGAAGAGGTGGCGTCTACCCCCAGGGCAAAAGCGCAAGTTGGCACTAAGTCACTTTTGTTTCTTAAGGTATTCCCCACCTACTCACCAATTTTCATGAAAATCAATGGAGATTCAATGAAATTGGAGGTGAAAACCTTAATTGACTGGACTATTATTACGTATTTTTAGCAACACTAGGTCATTAATTTATTATTTTGTTGTTTTTTTCAGTTTCATTCCAAGTTACGTTCTATGGTATTTCTTAAATGTCACGTCACGACACGTAAATATGCACAAGGCTTTGTTTTAAAACGAAAGCGCATTTTTTTATGATGAAAGCACAGTTTATCGCGACCATAATTTAAATGAAAAAAAAGGGACTCCTTTTAGTGATATATTTTAGTTATTATATATTTTATCGTTTTTTTTTGTTTTAGTTATTTAAATGTCATGTTAATCAATGTCAAGAATTGTTAGCGGAATTTTTCGAGGGCGGTCGGCGTCTTATTTTAATTATTCTTAAAATCGTTCATATTGGATATTGTGAAATAAAATTGGTGTGTGTTTGTGTTACAACCGTCTGTGCTACTGAAGAATTAGTGGAATCTTTAAAATATACGCTATTCTGGTCAAGTGGACGTGAAAACTTTATTGTAGTGTTGACTACCTCACAGAAGCTAATTGAAAAAGCCAACTCGATAGATTTCGTGCCAAACACTCCTAGAAACCTGAAACATTAGAATGTGTCACACTGATATTCTAATGTAAAAAAAAGATTATTAAAACCTAATATAAGGCTGTATGGGCATTGTTTCCTTTGCCTTCCATTAAAGGAAGAATCTTAAAAAAATCTATTAATGTCACACTGACAGTAACAAATTCGTAAACTTTGTTTCACGACTTGTGATTACTTGTTTACTTTTAACTCATAAAATTCAATTTAATAAACTAAAGTCTATCGTCGTACCCATGTAACAAATATTACTGTTTAATTTAGTGCTCAAATCTAGTTCTTCATTGCATAAACAATATGTCGGATGACGAAACAAGCTTGCATAGATTGGAAGGCACATCAGGTGATGCACCAGGTGGATTGATTATCAAAAAGAAAGACAAACCTGCGGAATTTCAATTCGCAAAACCCTCCTTACTTGGATTGGATAAGTTAGCTGCAGCTAAGAGGAAGCAAAACAGACTAATATCCTTCCAAGACGATGCAAACGAAGATGAAAATGCGGCATCAAAAAGTGATTCAGACAGCACAAAAGAACGTAAATACAGAAAACATAATGAAGAAACTCCAACATATACAGGTGGAATATCAGAACAAGCCCGTGAACGTATGTTGGAGAGATTACAACGGTAAGTTTAATGGAATAAATATTCTTTTTTATCATCTACTTCAAAAACTTAACCTAACCTTTTTGGTTTCATATTTGTACAAAAATTAATTTATTTGTTCGTAGAAAGGAAAAGGAAATGAAAGGAAAGGGGGTACATAATTCAACTAAAGAAGAAAAGGAAACTTCAAAAGACGAAGAAGATGACCGCTATTATCGTCACCGCTATGACAGGCGTGAAAGAGACAGAAGATATGATGACTACAGAAAAGACAGGGAAAGAAGAAGAGATAGGGACATTGAGAGAAGAGAATCTGATAGAAGAGGTGGTGAATCAGATAGGAGAGGTAGTAATTCAGAGAGGAGAGATAGGGATAGAAGAGACAGTGAAAGAAGCAGAGATAGTTCAAGAAGAAGTAATTATGAACCAAGGTTCAAAGATGAGCCAAGGACACCAAGGTATGAATTAGATTGAATAAAATAAACAAACTCATTCAATGAAACCTTTCTGCTTATACATAAGAATTTAGCATAATAATTTTGAATATTATTTACACATATATGTACTTTGTATACAAATTTATGAAATAGATGTGATCATTAGGGATGATGACTAACTTTATTTTCTTCGTCTATCAGGTCAATTGTCAAAAAATATTGGCCACATATTTTTTTATTCACTTAATCAAAACATTACAGACATAATCAATAAGAATTTTGTTTACTTTATGCCATCATAATCTCTATATTATTTATTATTCTTGAAATAAATACTGTACAACATTATATTACTAACATCACAGTAGCTGTTTCACCATAATTCAAACAAATTAGTTCACAAAAATAAATATTGGGAATGGTACAATCAATTAATTCCTTAGCACCTCAGATTTAATTTAAATTTATATTTTTTTGTAAGCAAAGATTCATGATTATTTATTTATTGTAACCTTCATTATAACATCTGATTAGGTTTGTTGTCACCAGTTTGGCAACCAGGCATTTTTGTACCACTGTACTGTTTTTCAGCATAAAAGCAATGAAACCAACAGACAAAACAGCATGGGACGAGGACGATGATGATAAAGCTCCGATACGTAAATCAAGTTGGGATTTTCCAACACCCCTGACTCGAGATGCAGGACCTTCGGACAAGTGGCAGCGTAGTGACAGGAGTGCAAAGCCTTTGAGAGATTATAAAGGAAGGTTGTATGAGCAGACTGAGAGAGCTTCTCCACACAAGTAAGTTTTGATTTTAAAACATAATACACATTATATCTACTTTTTCGCATAGTCCCCTCATTAAATAAAACTCTGTTTCATTTAAAGCATTTTGAAACTTTGTTTTATTATAAATACATATTATTATTGGTTATTCAATCAATATCTTTTGACAGTGGGTAAAAATCATTTTCATTATTTTCTAAGACCTTTACTAGTAAATTCTTAACCTTTGATTATATGTATATACTGCTAGATACCGTATTAAGTGTATGGCAGCAGCATAAAAAATATCTACTACATATGGTAGATACGCTCATCTATACACACGTGCGTGTGCGTCAATATGTGCATATTGACTGCTATCAAACAATGCATGCTCTAAAGTCAGAGTCATTAGAGTCTCACATGTATTGCACGTAACATGAACCAAATTCTTTACATGTTTTATTTGGATTGATCTATCTAGGCATGTTCATAATGAAAGGTCTTATCATGAACATTTTCTTATGTATCAATATTTAACTATTTTCTTATTATTATAATGAATCAATGTATGAATGCCAGCTAATGAGCAAAATGCCTTCATAATATCATTTTAATGAATGTGGAAATGAATTTTCATCCGTAGGTTTGCAAGTTCCAGACGTGGTGTGGATGTAGACGACCCTGATTGGCAGGAGGCTGAAAAGAAACTGGACAGAGCTTGGTACAATATGGGTGAAGGTAAGTGTCCCGGAACTAGAGCTGAATAAGCTGAATTTATAACCTACTTTTGTTAAAGGTGGAAAATAACATGTGGCCTGCCTGATGGTAAATATAGCCATGGCCATAGCCTATAGACACTTGGGATATTAGAGTGTCACTCATACAATTCGTACCCTGATACTTCCCCTACCGGCGTGCAGCCTTACAACGTTACGCAGAACACAAATGCAACACCATCAAGTGGTTGTTGTTCTTCAATATATATCAATACATCAATCGAAAATATAAGGATGTCGAAGATGGGAAACATTGCATTTTCTTCCATCATGAATATAAAACTTAGACCCAGTATCTCGGTTTACTGTCGAACCCTGAAAAAGCACAGTTCAGTACACAATTATGAAGTATTTTTTTAAGGGCGCATTTATGAAGAATTAGTTTTTTCAATTTTAGTGTTGTAATTGCACATGGTTGTCTGGAAGAAATGGCTACATAGCCATTAGAGTGCCAATTGTACACCTTTTTAAATAATTGTCCTAAATTTGCACTCTATAAGTGGTGTGTTTAATAAAGAATTAACTATCTATCTATATTTAAGGGGGCAAACATAAAACTGACTATCAGTTTTAGTAACTACTTATTTATATTACTGTGACCATTATGTTTGAGTAATTTCTGCTACATTAGCAAAATCAGATTTTTTGTTGGAAATTGCCAACCTTAAAGAATCCAACGTATGAGCGTCTGTCAATTGGGAACACAAAATGCACACTCACAATACGTTGAACCAATAGGCGAATGCAGTTTTTCAACACATCTTTTGAAATTTGGATAATCCTCATTGGAAACCAATGCCCAGAAATCTAGACCTAAGGATGACTTTGCTTTTAGAAATATGTCCCAGCGCAGAGTCGTTATAACGTTGTCCATTTGAAATGCACCTGCAAATTTTGTAGCCATTTCAAAGATCTCTTCTATAATATATATAGAAGAGAGGATAAAGAAGATGCGTGCAGCAGTTGGTGATTTTGATGCGCAGTCTGTCTACTTATTTATATTTTTTGCCTTGCCACAATCGACTGAACTAATAGCGATAGACTCATTGGCCACCTCTGCTGTAGATTGAACAGGGCGATTGGTCCACCACTGTGGCCTAGAGCGTATTGACGGTTGCTAACGATTGCAGTTGCAGCCTGGACCAACAGCTTAACATGCCTTCCGCAGCACTGATGACCTTCTGATGATAATAAATTTCTGGTCACCCATCCAATCACTGACCATTACAGACTGTATTTTCTTTAATTACCTCCTCTCTTCTATCTCTTATTTAGTTGCGTGTCTGACAGGGTCTGTCTATAATAGTCATTTTTGTCATATCTAATATTTAACACATACATTGTGGATCTGCAATAAAAATTGAATTGAATATTAATGTCACATAATAATAGGCGAGGCCGACGAATCCGATCCGTTTGCGGACACCAGCGCCGAATATATTGCACGGAAAGAAGAGCAGATAGTGAAGCGTGCCAATAGGAAAGTTTCAGCGCAAAGGCAACAGATAGACAAGGACAACGATCTGTGGGAGCGGAACAGAATGCTCACAAGCGGTGTGGTGCACGCTATTAATGTGAACAATGATTTGGATGAGGTGAGCTTATAATCTCTTATCTATTAGACAAGTCCGTCCGTCCGTCCTTGGTGCTGTTTCAGCGGCCAAACCGTAAGAGATAGATAAAGAGAATGTTTAAGTTATAAGTTAAGAATAGTCTGATAAGACTACAAACCGGATTTGAGTAACGTAGCACTTCCGGTTTTCGAGAAATCACGTGATTTCTATTTCAAACGAAATCACACAAAATCTCCGAAGTTCTCAATTAATTAAATACTTTTTTTTTGGTGAATATTTGGTTCACTGGTTTGCTAGTGTTTATTAATTTTATTGACATTGGGTTGGCAGGGTTAGGTTTTAACCAGAATTTAGTTATATCTGGTCAAATATATATATACTGGGCTTTTACCATTAGTTAAAGGCATGGCAAAATTTGTTAATGGTATTAAATTTAAAATTAAACTTAAAACAAATTTCTATCCATAATTCCTTCAAAACGATCATACAATACTGAAGGAGGTTTGCATACACTCAATACTACAAGCCAGTCCAGTGACACGCAGGCGATTTCTAAAAGAAAAAAAATATTGTAAACGATAAATTGTTTGTTGTGACTAATAATAATCTATGAGAAACCTCTGGTTTGAGTATTAAATTAAGAAACCTTTTTCAGTCATATAATCTGGATAACTTGTTTTACCTACTAGTCTACTAGATGCCACTTGTATTCATAAATCATTATAGTGTTAGTGAACGAGAAAGTTTTAAATGACTTCTACCTCCTTTTAAAAATTCCTAGTTCTGTTGCCATACTTGTTTGTTACCTTTCTTGCTAAATGTCATCTTTATACATTAAATTTTCAGGAGAATGTAGACAGAGTACACTTGTTGGTGCACAACATTGTGCCTCCGTTCCTCGATGGCAGAATCGTGTTCACGAAGCAACCGGAGCCTGTCATACCTGTAAGTGTTTCCACAAATAAAAATAAATAAATATGAATATGATATTTAATATTATATTATTTTTTATGCATTTAACTGCTACATGTTCTAATCTAAAGAAAATTTTACGAAAAAAAAGAGTCCACACGGACCAAGCAGAAATAAATATTACTAAAAAATGTTTTTATAGTTTCACAAATGAAAAGTGTTGCCGTGGAATTTGTTATTTAATCTTAACTATTTGTGTTCTTTTTAAAAGCAGCGAAGGCATTGTTTTAACTTTATAACACAGAATATATTGTTATATTGAGTGCACATACAGCGTGTTTGGCTGTCAAAATGTGAGTAAAGCGAATTGTGTTCCTGCACAACAATTTAAGCGGTATACTTTTGAGCTGCGAATGCCGTATCTTCCCTTCATGTTTTAATCTAAGAAATGAGCAAATAAATGCATTGTATTGATAGTAAGTTCTCTATCTTCTTTTATTAGGTGAAAGACCCTACATCAGACATGGCAATGAACGCGCGTAAAGGTTCCGCACTAGTGAAGGCATTCAGGGAGCAAAAGGAAAGGCGGAAAGCTCAGAAGAAGCATTGGAAACTGGAGGGCACTAAGTTGGGTCAGTATTATTAGGATTCAAAGATTCTATATTTGCTAATACTGTGCATAATTTTTTTAGATAAAACTCGGTTTACTTTAGAAATTAACTTTATTAAGTAGACACAATCACATCACAAGTTTACAATACACAGACTGCGACGCGCTCGCGCATACGCGGGGAATCCCCCTTCACGTCTTTCAGTTCACACTAAGCTAGGTCAGTTTTTAAGGATTCAAAGATTCTTTATTTGCTAACATTGTGTATACACAACCATATCACAAGTTTATAATACACAGAATGCGATGCGCTGACGCATACGCGGGGAATCCCCCTTCACACCCATCAGTTTACACTAAACTAGGTCAGTATTATTAGGATTCAAAGATTCTTTATTTATTTATTAATGCTATGCTTAAATTGTTAGATAAAACTCGGTTTAGTTTAGAAATTAACTTTTTTTAAGTAGACATAACCACATCACAAGTTTACAATACACAAAATGAGACGCGCCCTTCACATCCGTCAGTTCAAACTAAGCTAGGTCAGTTTTATTAGGATTCAAGGATTCTTTATTTTCTAATACTGTGCACCAAAGATGGTTTTGTGATAAATTACCTTAATCATGTAGGCATGTAAATAATTTAATACAGTTATTCTACTAAATATCAATATCATTAATTTCCACACAGTGAACATCATTATTAAATCAATTACTATGACATGCTTTTTAAATATATAAGTAGTAAATTTTTAATAAGAAAATATGTCAAGTTTTATATAAGATCGTTATAATAAATTTGAAGCAATTAAAATGAATTATTATAATAATAGGAAGTAGCTCTTATGCAGGTACAAGAATATAAACAAGTGGTTTTTATACAATTTTCAATCTTTGTAGATCCTAAACAAGCATTTGAAATGAAAAATGGTGTAAGAAACCTAAACATGATTTTCGATTATCTTGACAATGATACCCCACTCGACATATTTCGTCAACTTATTTATTTTTATTTCTCACAATATGGCGCCTAATTGTCTCCATATTGAATTTCGATTACTATAATGTCTTTAGTAGCACTCCCATGATTAAGACGAATCGGTTGACGTATGAATCATTAAAATCGGTCCACACGTTTGGTCTCTAGTGTACCACCAAGGAACATACATACTAGAGTTCATGATTTCTCGAGCTTTTCAATTTCTCGGGTCTCGAGAATTCTCGAGGCTTCTCGGGTTGTCGACAAATTTACATTTACGTACGTTTTCTCATATTATTTGGTTCCAATAACGTCAACACATTCAGTGGTTTTCCTCTCAAATAAAAGTATCAAATTAATTATAAAACTTTAATTGATTATATTCAAAAACATTAATCTTATGAATAAGCTAATTATCTTTAAAAAAATACATTATTCATCCTATAATTATCATGAGAGCACCATTTTTGGCTGGTTATTTAGAAAAAAATCAACTAAAAACTTGTAAACAAAAATAGCTTCTATAACACAAAAAAATAACATGAAAGAAAACGTTAATATCTTAAATGCAGGTAGAAAATAAATGTAAATTATAATTAATAGTTGCGTGGCGCGCTTTGGCCTGCGTCGCCATGCAACAGAACAAACGGCGATTTAATTTCTATATAGGTACATGATTTCTCGAGTTCTCGACTTTTCTCGAGCTTGATTTCTCGAAAACAAAGCCCAACGAATTGAATTCTCTAATGAATGAAATGAATGAACCCTAATACATACATAGATGGACTGCGCTGCTTACGTGCGCGAGTCAGGTAAAAAATACACTAATGGTAGCCATAGAAACTACGAGAAATCGTTACGATTAGACTGTACCGTCCGAACGGTACCGATAAATCGTAGCGTGTATGTTGTTAAACTGCACAGTTTTCTACACGTACGCCACGTACGATAAACTGTCCCGTGCGAACTGTACAGTCTGATCGTAACGATTTCTCGTAGTGTGTATGGCTGGCATAATAGTCAACTAACACGACTGTTACTTTAAAATTCTATTTTGTTATGGTAACACGAGGAGCTCGAGGGCGCAAGTGGCTAGCACGTTCGGCTGCGATCGTTGAAGTTAAGCAACTTTCGCAGTGGTCAGTCATTGGATGAGTGACCAAAAATTTACTATCTCGAGCTCCTCCGTGCTTCGGAAGGCACTTTAAGCCGTTGGTCCCGGCTGCATCTGCAGTCGTTAGCACCCGTCAATCCGCACTGGGCCCGCGTGGGTCATAGCCCAATCTCCCTATTCCATCCATAGAGAAGGCCTGTACCCCAGCAGTGGGGACAATAATAGGCTGATGATGATGATGACGGTAACACCATCATGCATCAAAAATAACATAAAATATGTGAACGCCATATGTTTCACAGTTTCTTAGCAACATTTTGGGTGATTTTAACAAGCTAATATGGGAAGTTGTCATTCAAAAACTTTTGATGAAAAAGAAAACCGACTGTATTAAAACAAAACCACTATAAAAACATTAAGATTTTTTTGAGATATATATATATAAAAAGTACATTTAAACTGAAATCAACATGTGGTCTCAAATAAATATGTAACGAAATTCCTAACAATTACTTTTTTTTACAGGAAACATAATGGGGATACAGAAAGAGAAAGATGAAGAGGAAGATGGGCCAACTAAGCAGGCCTACAAGTATGCTGAGCATATGGATAACGGTAAAATACATTATCTTATTATTGATTAGTAAAATATGTTATTTATCAGTTAAATAAACAAAAATAGTTGAATTTAGTTTTGTCATCACTTTACTCTTCACCAGGGGGAAAATCGCCTACTGGGATCGCTATGGTTATCGCAATAGCTTACGATTTCTATTTCTTATTTCTGAACGCCGAAGGTTTTCAAATACTTCACGCTCATTTTCTTTAATATTGTTTTAACCAATGCAAGTTAGAAAAAAATGAGTGCGAGGCATTTGAGAAACTTCGCCGTTCAAAAATAACAAATTGAAATCGTAAGCAATAGCCATAGCAATTCTGTTAGGCAAATAGCCCCCAAATTTGTAAATTAATCCTTGATAATAATTACCTAAACTTGTATTGAGGGCGATAGTGAGTCTCTGGCAGACTCGCAAGTTTTCATAATATGTAGTGCAATTAATTATTAATCGTTTGACAAAAATCTAGAATTTATTTCATCCTCCCGTCTTTTTTTCCAAATAATCTTAAAACATTGAGTAAAAACCATACAAACATTCAAGCTTACACATGAACGATATAGTATACCCTAGATACACCACGAGTACTCAAAATGTGTCCCAATCAAGAAGTGCTTGAACTTCACTCAAGCACTTCTTGGTTCTCAGTCACGCGCGGACCGTTACAATGTCAAGATGCCACAGAGCTCCGCGAAAAAAATGCGAAAATAATACTTAGAGTACGAAAAGTGTCGTTTTTTCGACAGGTATCTACTCAATGTTTGTTAATTTAATGCATTTGAAGTAAATTTTGATCTAATACTTACTATAAACTGATTTAATATAAAATATTTGTGATATTCAAATGCATGGTCGGTTATACGTCGCCATATAGCCGTCTCTTTTCCTCGCGGTTCGTGCGTGCTATATTGCTAACAGCGCGTTCAGAATTGCGCGTAGAGTCAAGGAAGTAAGGTCTAAATTCTTCCGCATATAGCAATAGGTCGTAAAATTTTACGAGCTTGCATTTCGAACTGACAGGAGTCCTTGACGCATGCGTTTTATTTAAGACCTTATACAGTTTGTATTAAAGGTTACTTTCAGTATTTAAATAATGCCTTATATTGATTTTGACTACGCGATCATCTCACGATTTTGTTCGTGTTGGTGTTTCTAGGGTATTTAATGTCGTTGTTACACATTTATAATATTAGTAGGATACGACAGTTTGTATGAATATTTGTTACTCTTTCACGCTGAAACTGCTGTACGAATTTAAATGAAATTTGGCGTTTATAATAGTTTGTTACTTGGGATACTTTTAGTCCCAGAAAAAATGTAGGTTTCTGTCAGATTCGCAAAAAACTAAATATTATATTAACAATTAATTATCGTTATGATTTTTATTTTTTAAGCATGTAACGGCTCGATGTTTAAAACTAATGAAAATAATACAAGAAAAAATCCACACGTACCAGGCAGTAGACGGAACTCGAACCCGAACCTTTCACTATCCGGGCGAACGCACTGACCATTATGCTACTGTGGCCCTAATAGAGCCGTGTCGAATTCTTTCTAGCCTTTCTTAAGAAAGGCTTCAAGGCAGCGCCATCTCTTTACATTGAAACCCACTATGTCAAACGAATACCTTTACCAGTATTAAACATTTAAAGAAAGAAATAGCAATAGGGTATTTGACAGTATTAAAAATAAAGTGCCAATTGTTAGCATCTGTATATAGAATGAGTATTGGCTTTTTTTTTTATTATTCGGTAATAGGTAAGCGCTTGACCATAATTCGCCTGATGGAAAGCAATATTATGGTCTACGATGGAGCGCGCTTACCTAATAAAAACCGGTTCACTCTTGCTTTGAAGACCGCTAGATTGTAGTGCTCGGAGATTTTACTATTTTTACAGAAAAAATATTCATAATTTTACTATAAACCCACGATAAAGATAATATATATATATATATATAGTTTTCTTGTCTATTGTCACGTAAACCTAAACGATTGGGATTGGTGGAGCCTAAAATGACGTCACACGCATGTAAACTTCCGGTTAAAGTGACATTAGATTGTATAGTTTGACGTTTTAATGACAGTCGTGTGACGTCGCAAACCAGTGAGACACCATATTGTCCAGAGATACGTTTTCGCGGCAACTTCAAAATAGTTTTTGATTTAGTTTTTTTTACCGAAATACACAACATAATGATGAATATCTATCCTTTTTATGGACTTTATAAACATTAGTAATTACCGTGAGATCGTTTTCTAAAACTTGTCAAATACTCTATTATAGTTATAATTTTAATTTTTTAAGCATGTAACTGCGCGATGTTTAAATCTAAAGAAATTAATTATCGATCACTCACAGAAGCGGAAGAGCCCGAATCGAAGTCAGATTTCGTAAAGAAAAAGACTATAGGCGAGCAACGAAGGTACTTACCAGTATTCGCGGTGCGAGAGGAACTGATGCAGGTCATCAGGGAGAATAACGTCATTATTATAGTCGGTGAGTACATAATTATAGTTATTATTGCTAGAGACCAGAGATGTTACGGAGCTTCGACTCCGATTCCGATAAGCCGGAACTTCCCATTATTATTACACCTTCGGTTCCGATTTCGGCTCCGATACTTTTAAATCGCAGGTCGAAGCATAGCAAATAGCGATGGCGGCCTGCGTCGACCTTTACAAACTGGTTCTGTCGCGTTGGGAGTCTGTGTTAATATATAGTAAAGAAAATGGTAAAGTTTTGTATGAGCGACCGCCCTGGTAATGTATAAATACTGTACTTAGTAATATTTATTGGCAAATGGCTGAATATTAGAATCTTTCTTTCCATTTCTCTGATTAACTCTTCACAAAAAGAGTTTTTAAAGCAAAACTAAATACAAATAGTTTGTTATCGTCGGCCTGACAGGAAATCTGTGATGTTTTATTTTGTTCATTTGCAAAAATTAAAGGATTAATTATCATACAGCCTTGTCGCAAGCCTGTGATTTGTTTTGAGTAAAATTAGGGCCAAATATGTCATAGTTTGAAGGAGTTTAGAAATAATATTGTTTATTTCGATATACTTACACAAATATTTTTTGTGTACATTTATTGTTCTTTTATTTTGTAAAACGGAACATTTTGCTTTTTAAACAGACATGAAGTCATTTTTTATACTTTTAAAGATTTGATTATTTCACGAAAGTTATTTGAGAATAATAATCACGTCATAATTAATAAAAAAATATTGTAGTTACTGGCTAGTGCGGAATATTTATACACATTAAGGGCAGTTTCTTAGCCATGTCCTTTAAATGAAAAATGGTTATTTTATAATTAAAATGAAATAGGTTGACTGAATATATACAGGTGACAAAAGTCCGAAATAAAACTTTAGGGTTTGGTTGTGTTCCTTGTATAGAATTACCTACGAAAGTTTGACGCCTTTCAGACCATTTTTATTTTCTAATTAAATTAATAAAAATATCGTTTTACACCTGCCTATGACAACCCTATAAATGCGTACGATTACTACTACCTAAACAGACCCCCCTCGCTCCCCCAGGCGCCCCTGCGCCCCGCTCAGATACCTACAAATTTTTATTTCGGAATACATACCTACAAATTTTATTTCGGAATTCTGTAACACCCTGTATACGATGTTTTTATTTGTTCTTAAATTAAAAATATCTCTCTTGTGACCACTTCTGACTCTGCCTCTGACCCCGACTCTGCCTCCGACTCCGCGTCCGACTCCGCGTCCGACTCCGATAAATTAAATTTAAAAACTCCGACTCCGACTACGGTTCCGATAAATTACCTCCGTTACATCCCTGCTAGAGACTAGCGGACCGTTAGGAAAAAATATAAAAAACAAACTTGTTTTCATTGAAAATCGTAAGACAAAAATCCAGAATATGCTAGTTCACACTTTTTGGAAATACGTTTTAAATGGTCAATGAATTGTTCTATTAGACCAAAAAAATGTATTCTATTTTTTTTTACCTAGAAAGCTAAAAATTTTTAATTTTGAAAATAGATTTTTCATGAAAATACAAAAACGCTTTCGGCCATTTTAGTCATTAAGAAGGTTATAGAGAGATTTTGCTGATAAACCTCTCGTTCCTACTTCTACCGCATACAATTTCATCATCATCAGCCTATTAATGTACTCACTGCTGGGGCACAGGCCTTCCCTATGGATGGAATAGGGAGATTGGGCCATGACCCACCCACGCAAGCCCTAACGGGTGGGTGCTAACGACTGCAGATGCAGCCGGGAGCAACGGCTTAACGTACCTTCCGAAGCACAGAGGAACTCAAGATAATTTTTGATAAGTTTTTGGTCACCCATCTAATGACCGGCCATTGCAAAAGTTACTTAACATTTATGATCGCAGGCAGAGTGCGCTAACCAAATGTACCATCGAGCGCCTCAAAAAATATCGTATTAAAAAAAAAAATACGATCCCCTTTTTTGGTCACCCATCCAATGAGTGACAACTGCGAAAGTCGCTTAATTTCAACAATCGCAGCCGTACGCGCTAACCACGAGCAAACTCGGAGCTCAGGAGCAAATAGTCACCATCAACTTTACTTCCACTACTAGCGGCCCGCCCTCGCTTCGCTTCGGTGTAGAGCTGAAGTGTAGACTACAGTTTTTGTTCTCAGACTTGTATTATACACAATGACATTCTTCTTATAACTGCCTGCAAAGTCTCAGCCCGATCGGTTTAAAATTGACGAAGTTTCATACAAACTTTCATTCTCTATTTTATCCCCTTGGGGGTAGAATTGATCAAAATCCTTTCTTAGCGGATGCCTACGTCATAACATCTACCTGCATGCTTATTTCAGCCCGATCCGTCCAGTGGTTTGGGCTGTGCGTTGATAGATCACTATGTCAGTCAGTCACCTTTGAGTTTTATATATATAGTAGATTATGTCAAGCAAAGAGAGGTTTACTGTGCTATTCGTTTTGATTTGCGGCGTTACTCATTGATTTACTTAGTTCTGCCTACTCCATCGAATTCCTCATATAATTTATTTGTCCATTTCAGGCGAAACCGGCAGCGGGAAAACTACCCAACTGACTCAATATCTCCACGAGGAAGGATACAGTCGTTTAGGGACCATCGGATGCACTCAGCCGCGTCGAGTCGCCGCCATGTCTGTCGCCAAGAGGGTGTCCGACGAGATGAATACGAAGCTAGGTAATTATATCATTTATTTGTTTCTTAGGTTTTCACGCACATCACTCATTAAATAAAACTGGTTTTTACGGGTTAATGCACGCAACTTTATTTATTTATTGACGTTTCGTAGTCTTTACAGGCTACGTCGTCAGAATCAAATTTTATTTAATTTTGTCGAGCTACCTTCGAATGACTTTTATTGAGCGTTCGGTTATTTCATTGTTTGATTTTTAACGTTTTATTGTCTGTGTATGAATTTATTATTTAATTTAGTTAATAAAGTATTTTATTTAAAATTCTTTTTTGTAATTTTGAGTTTATTTATTTGACCCTAACTATCGTAAACTACCACCGGTTCCAAAATTGGGAGACCTTTCTGAGAAGAACCGGCGAAACAAACTCAAGAGAGGCTCTCTATCTCCTTCTTATGTTAAATTATGCTTATATTAACGTCAATAAATAAATAAAGTTTCGTGCATTAACCCGTAAAAACTAATTATATCATTTATTGAGATCTAAACTGTATTCACACCTGCTATTGAGTGCCAAGCGGGTGTCTGACGAGCAGGGCTTCTTTACCGGTTAATTTTCAAACCTTAATCAGTGTCAAGTACATTAGGAGCGTTTTATTTAGATTTGGCTCTACCTGAACCTTAAAAAAACCGGTTTCCTAAAAAGCGAAATCAAATAGGTTTTGAATCAATTTAGCGGTTTTTAAAGGGTTTCATTTCGCTCTTACTGCCGGCATCGATAGCAAATGAATAACTTGACTCACTAGACGCCAGCAAACGTGTCAATGAATGTAACAATCTCTGAGCATTAATAAATTGTGACTTGATTAGTTCAAACAAAACAAATTTCAAGCGATGCCGGCACGTGCACGTGTCGCTCTGGATTAAACCGGTTTATTATGGTTTTATGTACAGCTTTCATTTCGGACGCGCTCCGAAGAAACCTTTACTAAAAACCGGTATTAACTTTTATTTACCGGTATTTTCGAAACCGGTTTCTAGCCCTGCTGACGAGATGAATATATACATTTTTGTAGGGGGATTGAATTCCGTGCTTGTAGTTCGTTTTGACTGGTGATACGTTTGTTTGACTTTTTGCTGGCCAGTTAAAACGGATATACGCTGTACGCTAAGGAAACATTTGACGCTATTGGTCGTGTGTTTGGTGTCATTGTCATGCTGAAAGATCTAGATTACAGGCAAATGATCGTCCGAGTAGGGAATCATTGTGCACTCTTAAGATATTTTTGTATTGGCATTGATCCATTGTACCTTTAATCTTCCGAACGGGTCCAACTCCAGGAAATAACACTTATTGAAGTTATACTTCTTTAGGCGCGTTATGAAAAAATGATTAGAGTGAAATTTTAAGATGCGCGCGCATCACTGTAACACAAAATTTTAACGCGCCTAAAGAAGTATAACTTCAAAAATGGGTGCGTGTACTTATGTAGGCGCGTGAGAAGTTATCCTTCTTTGGCATCATTTAAAATTAGTTTTTAATTGCATGCAAATAATTAATTACAATAAATTAATAAAAAGTCTGGAAAAGGACACAGTCAATAAAGTTCTGTTTTAATTTGAAAAAATAAATAAATAATCAAAATATTCAATTAAAATCGCTACTGAATATAATTTATTAGAACATATGTGATTTGCACTTGTATGAAACTCAAACACGTATTCCGAATATACAAACTAGAAACATGTGGATAAATATTATAAATATGAATACCTATAACTGTTACTTTATTACAAAAAATAAAGATGTGGTTTTTGGTTCTACTACACCAATGGTCAAGAGATGGCGCTGTAGTCTCCTGAATCGCGCTTTGGTTCCGTTGTTCCAGATTAATAAATACTTTTGATATTATAAATATGAATACCTATAACTGTTACTTTATTACAAAAAATAAAGATGTGGTTTTTGGTTCTACTACACCAATGGTCAAGAGATGGCGCTGTAGTCTCCTGAATCGCGCTTTGGTTCCGTTGTTCCAGATTAATAAATACTGTTGATAGGCCTTCACAATGCAGTCGTTAGCACCCACTAAATAGAGATTCTATTTCTATTTTGTTGGTAGATTTTCTTAATGTGCGGTAAACACAAAAGTAACAGCGTGAAGTTGGTCGCTAAAGCGACCAACTTCATGCTGTTAATTTTTGTGTTACAGTGATGCGCGCGCATCTTAAAATTTCACTCTCATCATTTTTTCATAACGCGCCTAAAGAAGTATAACTTCAAAAAAAAGAGCGAGCTATTTAAGCAGCCAGTAAAAGAAAATAAACTCGTACATATGTAAGACGCATTCTGTAATTAAAAGTAAGATATGTTTTATATTTTATGCATTTAATGAGTATTTTATTTGAGTGGCTTTATTATTGCATGATTATTAATTATTGAATGTGTATATTTTTTAAGAACATTTGTACGTAAGTTATACTTTTTTTTATTCATAAGAAGTGTTTCTAATTATATGACCACCACTGTATTTATATAATAGTGTGACACTCGTGACGCATATAAGTTTCATGATTTCCGTAGGATTTTTCCATTTACACCCATACGAAAAGAAGTTTTACTTCAAAAAAAGAAATCTATATTATACTAACTATCAGCCGTAATAGCAACCTTATAAAAATTTCTTTCCTCCGATATTATTGCGCGTACAATTGAGCCATTTCAAACCGTAAAAGTAATAAAGTAATTTTTATCCAGGCGACGAGGTTGGCTACGCCATTCGTTTCGAAGATTGCACTTCGCCCAACACAGTCATCAAGTACATGACTGATGGAATTCTGTTACGCGAAGGTCTACGGGAACCCGATTTGGATCATTACTGCGCAGTCATTATGGACGAAGCTCACGAGAGGTCCCTGTCTACGGATATGTTGTTCGGGCTACTAAGAGAGGTCAGTGAATCTTATTAGCTTAGCAATAGGGTATTTGACAGTATTAAAAAAACAGTGCTAATTGTTAGCATCTGTATTTAGAATGAATATGGGCAGGAGTTTTTACTATTATTACAGAAAAAATATTCATAATTTTACTAAAAACTTACAAAAAAAACGATAGCTTTCATATCTATTATCACATGATTGAAAACGCCTGAGATTGGCGGAGCCTTAAATGACGTCACACACTAGTAAAGTTACGGTCAAAGTGACATTACATTGTATCGTTTGATGTTTTAATGACAGTCGTGTGACGTCACACACCAGTGAGACGCCATATTGCCCAGAGAAACGTTTTCCTGGCAACTTGAAAATTGAGTTTTTGATTTAGGTAATTTTACTGAAATACACAAGAGAATGATGAATATCCACTTTTTATGGACTCCATAAACATTAGTAAGAAACGTGAGATCGTTTTCTAAAACTTGTCAAATACCCTATTAAGATTATTTTTCCGTATTTATTGCCTGATTTTGTTCATTTATATGCCATCATCATAAATTATCACAAATTAAGCACAGGAGCTTTCTTTATGTACGCATATGTTATTCGGACTGCTGAGAAAAGTCAGTGGTTCTTGTTAATGTAGCATAGAGACGATTTTAGCATAGCACAGTGATTATGCTTATAATAATTTATTATTACCTGACTTGGATCATTACTGTACTATCATTGTGGACGAAGCTCGGACTACTGAATCAGTGAATTTTAGTACTGTAGCTTTAAAGACTATTTTTGCGTATAATTGACTTGGCTGATTTAGATAAATAATGTTCCGCCATCATAAATAAATTCACAGGCTAACGTCGAACTGAGTTTCTACAACAAGTACGCTACGTGTCTAAAATGTGTTTATTCGTCATATTAAATTCTATGTTTAATAACAAAATTATTTGCATCTTGCAAAAACAATTTATCTTTTAAAACACTCAAGGGAAACCTAAACAATTTGTTCTAAATCGGTAGTTACTTTTGTGTTAACAAAGCAAGCCGGAGTGTATGTATTTCTTAGCCGCTCGTACAGAGGACGCCACTGAGAACTTCATCGTAGTTACGCAAATCCCGCTAGGTGGAGTTGTTTTTGTGATGTAGAATCTGTACTATACTATTGTGACATCAAACTAAGGTTCTTGTTCTTACTGAATAATAAACAATATATGACTGGACTGCACTCTCAGACTGAGAAATTTAATGCTTATCAGAGCGACGTGTTGGTCATTGCTTGGCAAAGAAAGGGACAGCGTAGACATAAATCATAATTAATTTAATTGACGCGCCTATATTTACATATAATACTACTAAATTTAAGAGTAGTGATAAAGCAAATGATTTTAGTTGAAATGTTAAATTTTGTAATCAGTCTGGTTACATCGACCGTCTTTATGCCGCAAATACATTTAGCCGTTAGCCTGTTTTCGGGTGCACGAAAGACATTACTCGAATTCGGAAACCCGAAACAATATTACTTATATATGTACAGTATATGTATTGTATCCGTTACCCTAGTATCCCATAACACAAGCCTTCAGTGCTTACTTTGGGGCTAGGCTAATTAGTGTGAGTGTTGGAAATATTTATTTATTTTTTATTTATAGACGACCACTTATTATCAGGTGGGATATATGTTTTTTCCACCCAGTGCAGTATAGAAATAAAACGCCCATATTTTATTGGTAATAAACAAAGTTCTCAATAATATTATCATACGTTTGAGTTTTAAAAGAACTTAATTGCACTTAAAATTAAAAAGAAACAAGTTATATTAAATAATAATCATTTATTTATTCATAAAAAATGCATCATTAAATAGAACATTTAACTTACAATACTCACAAAAGTCAACATTAGAGATTGTCAGAAGTAACATTATTATTAGGTCGTCATTGCATTAAATATTTATAATTTGTCAAAATATTTTTATCTATTTGTCAAAATATTTTTATTTATATGTCAAAATATTATGTTAACTTATTTTGTTTTCAACTTTATAGACTTGATTTTGATTCATGCTCCGTGTAATGTGTACTTATAAAGTTTTCAAATTTATAATCCAAAACAGTCAATAGTCAATATTTTTGTAGTTTACTTCATAATATTTGTTTTCATTTTCTTCCGTCTTCATGTAAAAAATACTTTTATAAAACAGTCTTATTCTATATAGTAAAAAGTAATACACGTAAGACTAGGGCGTCACTCTCAGACCATAAACAAGATTTCTTAACGAGCATCGGTTAAGTTAAGATAAATTAAGACAACACTGTAATATCATAGTAGAGCATTACAAACAATATTGTAGGTACAGTACAAAGGGGCGTCTTTATCATTCAGGAATGTTTAAAATCCAACTCGAAACCAATTAACTTCTTTCCACATTATGAACTCCTCTCGAGATATTAAATTAAAATACTGACAATGCTTAGTATTGAAAAGAGAGTTCACGAAAAAGGAACTATCAGTTTTGTTTCTTCGAATTTTGGAGCGCATTCCAAATTCGACGCAGCGGCCACGGTATGGTGTAGTTAGACGTAGTCTATGTTAGCGCTTGGCGGCCAAAAGCAGGTGTAGCAGGTTGGTCCAGCGGTCGAGCCGCTGGGAAGCGACACTCAGACCGACTTCGCCTTCTCCCTGACGTGGGTCTGGCTTACCAGCATCACACCCATGTTCATGCCGATGTTCCCCCATTTGAGCGACTCGCTTATCTGCAACAAACCAATGGGAAATAAGACTTTGGCCCGACGGAATAACACTGCAACCCGATACTTTTGGGTTTGTGACAATGTTATCCCGTTAAAGGTACGCGTGTACGGTAAATGGCTGATAAGGCTCAATTTAAAAGTAACTTATTAATTACAGTTTTTTTTTAATTTATTTGTAACAGGGACAACAAATATTTTTACAGTTTAACACAAAATTAGTAAAAAACACACATGAGGGAAGGGTTTTAGTAGTTTAATTTGTACAAAACAAAGAATTTCTAATGTAATTGCGCCGCGCTATCGCTTCTTGCGTAAAATGTCCGTGACATATTCCTATGTGTGCGTGTGTGTACACATATATCTACATATCTTTGCAACATGAAATTGTACGGGTGCCATAGAGTATAAAGATAAGCTCTCAAGGTAGCATTATCGTTTTAATGCCGGCTTTCCTTATCGGTCAGTGTGTTTTCTAAACGATTTCATGACATAAAACCAGAATGAATTGAAAAGATGTTTTGTAACAATGAAAAACAATTATAGTTTTTAGACCAATGGCCGCAGCAGTAATGGATAGAGAGAAAGGAAAATGTAACATATATTGCCACAAAAGCAGCGACTATAAATACACAGATATAAGTTTAGGTGTTGCCGCTATTAATCGCCTTCCAGTTTTTACACGAATAAAGACTAATATTTGCATACAATGTAGCGTACTTGTGTATTTGTAATTATAATTTGCAGTCAGAAAACTTAACTTTATAAAAAAATATTTAAGAAAAACCTTTATGAAATGCTGTTTCTGTTTCATTATCATGTCATGTGTTAAAGAAATAAAGTATTTGAATTTTTCATTATCAGATCAGCGGCACCATACACTATAGAGCGTTTAATGTGACCTCATTATTGAAACAAGTGTTACAGCTTGTAAACTGTGATAAAACTGTTGTTTGAATTTTCAATTCGGACACGTGTAGTTTCATACTAAATGTCCTTAACCGCTTTCTCACAAAGATGTCGAGTAATCAAACATATAAAGTCATCGCGGAAGTACGTGATCTTTTCAACGAAGACTATGCTGTTATCGTCAAGGTTTTCATACGTTGAATATTGGTCACAAATACTTTAAAAATGACTCGTATTAAATAGGTACACACAAATACTGTAACGGCAAAATGGAAAGGATATCACTAATTCCGGTACACATAATTTCAAAACCTCACCGGTATATGTAAATGTTGCCAGCCTTTTCAGTCCATAGCGCCTCATCGACTACCATCAAAAGATGATAATCATGGGTGTTTTCGACGTCGTTAAGCTGATCTGTAACAGAATTGCTACGTTGCGATCTCTCGGTATATTTGTTCGGTCGGTCCCATACGCCCGCCCATGCATAAAACAGCTCGATGATCGCCTTGCACCCAGTTTTTCAATAACACCGCCATAATTTTCCATTACACACTAAGTTAAACTGAAGCACAATATCGCTCAGACATTCACAGTAAGCATAATGAACTCAAGAATGATGTTTCGTAACGAACTGTCGTTACCTTATTACATCTTTATGACGTAGGGGTGAACGGAGTCAACTTTAACAGTAAAGACAGTTTATTTTCAATTAAATATAATGATGTGAAAGAACATGCAAGTTGTGATAAAAATTCTAGAGCCGTCATTTTAAACGCTGATAGAACACCAAAGATAATAATAACAAACCGGTGTACGGCAGACATTAATACAACCGGACAGACGAGTCCGTCGCAAACGCCGTTATTGCAGGCTCTAGAATTTTCTCCAATGGTATTTCCGATTACGGTGTATCTGTACGCATGCGTGGTGATATGGCAATAGTTTACCTGTCTCATGCGAGCTTCTTGCGGAGTCTCCCCATAACGACACCAGTGAACGAAGTGCAGCGTATTGTGCCAGTTTCTCTCGAAGCGTGACTTTGTTGCCATTTCAAGCTGCAATCAGGAGAAGCTCCTTAGTAGCTTGTTCCTCTGTTCACTGTGTCACGTGTCCACAGTTCCCAAAGAGCGAAAGCCCGATGCTTTCGTTATCTGAAATGAGATGTTTCCAATTCTGACGCAGGCCTACTACGGAACGTGTGAAGAGTTTGCGAATTCGGATAGAATGATGTAACCTTAGAAAGGTTGAGAATCTTCATGCATTAGTTTTAGAATTGTAATCTATATTAGACAGATTGTTATTGGTGAGTGGGAAGTTTGAGAGAATCGACCTATTTAAGGAGGCAGTGAACCGTGCTAATTTATTATGAGA